GCTGCAGCAGTTCAAAAATACTTTCTCTATAATCTTCCAAGTTTGTGATCTCACAATTAAACAAGTCAAGACTTTTCAAATTTTTAAGATTTTGCTGTAAAAGTAAAATTAAAGTTTACATTCAAGATTTAAACACCAAAAAAAAAGATTTAAACACCAACAATAAAGCAACTTAATAAAGCAGTGTAGTAAAAATAATAATAAAAAAAATTAAACACCATGTTATTTTTCAATCATTTCCTGAACCAGAAAAATATTTCTATTTTTTAATCAAGAGAATACTCTTTAGAATTTTATAATGAAAGATGGTTATAGCAAGCAAAGCCTCTGTTAATTAGTCCCTAGTATATGAAGTCCACAAGAGTAGGAACTTTGGTCCAATACTGTGTCTCCAGCATCTGCTTTAGCACCTTAGACAATCATACATTTTCTGCTGTTTAAATCTGTGCATAAAGAGGGAGCAAGCGTATTATGGTTACTTTCAATCCACAGGCATATTTATTTTCAATAACTGCAATCTCTTCCCAAACTTTTCTATTTTAAAAAAAAAATCAGAGTGACAATTTTCAAAATTTCCTTTTCTTTCCCCATACCAGGACACAGGGAATAAGTAATATAATAACTCAAAAATAAGAAAGATTTTTTAAAATGGATTTGTTTTAATCAAAATGAAAAACTATAATTAACATCTCATTAAAAAAACAAATCATGTGTGAAAAAATAAGTAAGAGAAGTTAATAAACTAATGGAAACTTAATAATTAGACGTTCAACTTTTTGAACGGATAATAAATTTCTCATTAATTTGTAAATGTCTGCATAGTTTACCTTAAAAATAAAGACAGTTAAAAAAATACAGTTAACTATCTAGATTACAGCTTATGAGAAATTCAGAAGTTGTAAAAATTAAACAGAATTAAAAAATAAAACAAATTTCAGAAATTTCAACTAAGAAAAGCAAATACAGGAAACAAAATATTTCTGACTTACCAGAGCTTCTACTGTACTGAGATCTTTAATTTTATTTCCACTCAGATTGAGGTAGGTAAGATTTGGACATTTCTCTGCCAGGACTTCCAAGCCTCCAGAAATGCTATTGTTACTAAGTTCTAACTATATATTTAACATGGGGAAAAACAAAGGGTAATGAAGACTTAAGATGGATCATAGAAACAATATCAACTCAAAGAAGATAAATGTCATTCTTTTCCCTAGCTTCAAGAGACTGACACTTAATAACCTTCCAAATTCTCACCTAGTTCCCGCAAATAAAATTTAAGAATCCCTACAGAGTAACCTCCCAGTTTAGGTTTGTAATCATTGTGTTTCTAAGAAAAAACATTTGTTATTGTTGTTAGGTACAGTCAAGTACAACTCCTAGTGACCTGATGGATATCAGATCTGAACCCTGCCCCATCCTGTACCATCCTTATCATCTCTGCACCACTAGAACTCACTGTTAGTGATGTGTCAATCCATCTCATTGAGGGTCTTGCCCTCCTTTGCTGACCCTCCATTTTTCCAAACATGATGTCTTTCTTCAAGGAGTGGCTGGTCGTAACATGTCCAAAATACATGAGGGGAAGTTTCACTATCCTTCTCTCTAAGGAGCATCCTGGCTACTCTCTCTCCAAAACATATTTGTTTCTTTTGGCAGTCCATTGGATATTTAGTGCTGTTCTCTAGCACTGTAAATCAAAAGCATCAATTGATTCTTCTCAAACATTCTTGGTGTCAGAACAGGTCTTTTCCCCAAAGTTTTCTTGTTTAATGCCTCAGTAGTTGGAAGCAGATGTTGAACTTATGAAAAACATTTAACAGATGCTAAAACCAAATCCATGTCATAAAAAGTTCCCACTATTAAATTTGTAAAAGCAATACAACTGATTTCTAAATCCTGTATAATGCATTTCTTATCTCTAGAAAGAAACTTCTAATCAATTGGCAGAACAGTAGTTTCATTTGGCCAAGAATAGGCAAAATAGTCCATGGTGCTTTTACACTTAAAGCCAACTTACCTTTCGAAGTTTATTTAAGCTGGGAAGTCGAGCCAGTGAACTTAATTCCACATCAGCCATACTTAAAGACTCTAATTCTTTAAAAGTATCATTTAGGCCCTCAATTTCTCCATTGACACATCTGCAATTATCAAGGACTAACTCTGTCACCTGTTAGAAGAAATTCATTAATGACACTTTAGTTTGCAAACTGGCCATAGGTCCTGACATTCTGGTAGTATAAATATTAAAGTTGCAATCACTTTAGATCCTTTTAATTGGGGAAGTGGGGGAGGAAACAGTAGTTGATAAAGTCATCACCACAGTAATTTTTTAAAATTTAAATGTCTACTAAGAAGTTCAGTATCTGCTTCAAATTACTAAATCATATAAAAAAAAAAAGAAAAACCTTTGGGGGAAGTTCCATGGTAAAACTTATTTCTGACCTTAAGAGTGTCTCAGAAAAAAAAAAAAAAAAAAAAAAAGAGTGTCTCAGAATTACCATCAACACCGCGGTGTGTTTACTTTTGCAGTTAGGGGACACCTGAGCTAGTAGGAAAGAATTCAAGGAAGCTGCTATCAAGGTTGGCATAGGCACTGGACACAGAATCCATGTAATGCCGTATCCCTTGAGGATTTGAACTTATTGAAAAGCAAATAAATAAAATCATGGATTTGTTTTTTTTAAAAAGTTGGCATAGAGAAGAAAGTTTTATTCATTTTTCCTCCCCAATTTTCAACTTCCTTATCTTTTGGTTGATAAATACCATCAAACCTCAAAACAAAATCAAAAAGACCCGTTGCCCTTCTGGAATAGCCCAATTTTGGGGTGCTTTTTGTTCTAATACTGAGGTTAAAAACCCAGAATATGATATTCTTGACAAAACGTCATTTCTATCATCCTGGTAGCATCTTCTATGACTTTTCTCCATTCTTAGGAAGAGGAAGAAGATGTTAGGGGTTGGATCTCCAATTAGGTCAATTTGTGGTTAAAAAATTTCCCAGTGTGGACTTTAATCTTAAGGAAAAAGTAGAGGACCAGGATCCATATTCTCCGTGCAAAAAGTGTGAGGTACCTTGAGAGCTAAAAGTTAGCAAGGAGGAAGGCCTTCTCTGAATAAAAGACTTAGCCTCAATAACTTCAGTGAATAAAGCATTGTAATCTCCCTCTTAGACCCGGCCAGAGAAAACCAAGGCCCAGAGGCTAGGCATGACTTGCCTAGGGTCACACAATTATTATGTGGCAGAGCTGTGCCTCCACTCTGACTCCCAGACCAGCTGAGTGGTGGGAGGGCCACTAGATTTGGTGTCAGAAAACCAGTTCTGCCACTTAAGAAAATCACTTCACTGCGCTAAGATTTCCTTTACTAATTTGTATTCTAGAACAATACAATTCACCTTACAAGTTTATTGAAGAGAAAGAGTAAAGCAAACAACAATCATGAAAAGGGCTTTGCAAACTTTCAAGAGCTTTACACATATGAGAGACCGTTATTACACTACTGCGGACCAAAAGGTTCGCAAAAAGGCACTCTCTTGTAATCCCCCAAAACTGACAATACAGTAATGAAATTACTATGCCAAAGAAAAGGGGGGACTGCAAATGCATTTCTCCAAACCAAGATCTAAGAAATCGCACTGGAAATGTATGCTTCCGAGAAACTGCTTCTAAGTTTGACATTGCCTCGGGAGCTCCTAAAAAGTAGACCCTTGAAAATATCAAGTTCTCTCCGGGAGTTCTCGCTGATAACAGCGACTGCTTCCTCCTCTCCGCCACCTACCAATTTAGAACGAGACACTTAAGTACAAAAGTATCTTAAATTTCTCACTAGCCACACAAGCAGAGTTCTGCTCATCCCCTACAGGGCACGGACACCGTTCTTCTTTAAAAAAAAGGTCGCGCTTATTTTAGCGGCTGCACACTAACAAGGCGCTTGACACTTTCCCTTGAAACCTGAAGTCCTAGACTCTTCGCCGGCCGTGAGGCCCCGCGCACGCTCCGGCCAACTGAGAACCCCACAGCGGGCGGGGACTCCCCAGGTCAAAACTGGGTCGTGCACACGGCTGCCCGGGGAGATGGAGGGGCGCGTCCGCGGGGCTGCGGGGAGGGGGGTGGTGGAGGGACGCGTCCGCGGGGCTGCGGGGAGGGGGGTGGTGGAGGGGCGCGTCCGCGGGGCTGCGGGGGGGGTGTGGAGGGGCGCGTCCGCGAGGCTGCCCGGGGAGGTGGTGGACGGGCGCGTCCGCGGGGCTGCCCGGGGGTGGAGGGGCGCCCCAGCGGAGGAGGCGCGAACTCGGCCCGCCCGCCCCCAGCGAGAGCGGCCGGCTCCGCCTCCCGTGGCCCTTCCCCAGCCCGTCTCTTTAACTAAGACGACAGCACCCGCGCATCATTCCGTTCCGCCGAGCCCATCTTGGAAGGCGTAAAACTACTACGACCCGGTGGTTGAGTTCCGGGAAACCGTCTCAGGGATCAAATTCTGAGTTGCAGCCACTACGACAACACACACGGATATCGTTACATCGTTGTCTAAAAGCCGCGGGTGTCCTCCTCCGCCCGCGGAGGGAAGAAGGGGATTCCGCCACACGTCCTCCCTTCACCTCTGGTCACTGCGACGAGCCCCAAAACTTGGGAGTCCAACCAGCCCGCGACTGACCCAGATTCTGCCCGGCAGCGGCCGGCGCGCGGCGCCCCGGGGAAGTGGGCGACCTGCCGACCCCGCGAGGGACCCCAGCCCGCGCCCAGCGCGCCGTCCGGCCCCCAGTGGCCTCCAGGCCGGGGGCGTGAGTCCCTACGCCCCTCCGCCCTCCACCTTAAACGAGTTGGCAGCGCCGCGGGAAAGTTGGACTAACTTCTCAGGCGGCGACGCCTGTGGCCGCGGCGAATGGCCTTGGGGGTCGCGCCCACGCTGCCAGCCTCCGGGAGGAGGAAAAGGGGAGCGAAGCGGCAGAGGCCCCACCGCCACCTGCTTCCCCGCCCCCATGAGGGCAGGAAGCCCAGCTCCCAGGGAGCCGAAAGGGGATAAGTCCCCCTGCACACACAAAAAGGCCCCTAGAAACTTAAACCCTTCGCCATTTTAAGAAGGAGATTTTAATGATTTAAAACTTAAAACTAAACATCCCCTCCAACCCTAACCTCAAGTATGGGTTTAATTTATTACCACTCCCCACACACCCACCCGGACCCCCTGAAATTCGACCCTCGGAATAGAGGGTTGGTGGGAAAGGGGAGGGGGCTGAGTCATCTCACCTCCTCCGGGGCTTTGTTCCTTAACTCCAGGTTAATCCTCTTCTTCATCTCCATGTCCTCCACCTCCTCTTCTGCCACTAGTCTCCTCCCTTCCTCTTTCCTGCCTTTCCTCACCTCCCCCAACCCTAAAATTTAAGGTTTGAAAATGAATGAAAAGATACGCAAATAAAACACCAACCACCACCAGACAGGTTTAGGGGAGGAAAAAAAAGAGAATCGTAAATGGAGTCGAAGGAGTTGATACTCTAACTCCACTGCCCCCACCTCCTTGTCCACACACTCGCGCGCGCGCACACACACACACACATACACACCCGCGCGCGCACACTCACACACCCGCAGTTCCTTCCCTTTCAATGGCTGCTCAGAGACTGAACCTCCATGACACGGCACCGCCAACCCCCTAGCCTATACTCCACCCACCTCTTGTTCTTATTGGTTACTTCTTTAACATCACACTACTCCATTGGATTACTTAATTGTTCATCAGTCTTCAGGCGCTACCTGGATCCGAAACTCTTTGCCTATTGGCTATAGCCATGCGCGCAGTTAACTCCAATAGGTCCAGGAGACTGTCCGTCCTGAGGAAATGATTTTGAATCCCAGTAGCCCCCTCCTTTTCTTTGTGTCGTTGGCGCGCTTTCCTGAGGCGCTCGGCTGTTTTGATTCCTGTTGGTTTTTGCTTTTTAGGGTTTTTTCCCCCCTTTTGTTTTTCATGTAAAAGGAAGAAAGGTAGCATCCTGTTTCAAGATGCGAGACCAATAATTTACCATACACCACTCACTCACCAGCTCTTGGCCTTTTTAAAGCGTAGGCTCTGCTTACCTGCCTAGTGCGCACACACAGGTTCATATATAGTTAAAAGCATGTCTTTGTGACACTGCCTTGCTGAGGACATGCTTCCCACAGAGACCGGCTTTCTGTGGTGTAGAACCAGGATATAGGTGGTATTTTAAATTCCGTCATGAAGGGTTAGGGTCAGATTCCGAAAGCAACTGAGTTTTGCTCAAAATTGTGTTCGCGGAGTTATTTCTAATTGTTGCTGTAACATAAACTGGGACATTAGAGGTGAAAGAAAATAAAAGTTAAATATCAAGTCACCCAGAAATGGTTCTGCAAAGCCTATTCTAATTTCTTTTTTGTTGCTTTCCGTGGTAAACTATACTTTTAAAAGTTTGTCTGCTCTTTGGGAGGAGGATGAGCAGTCTCCTCCCGTGCAATTGCTGCCTCTGAAAACCCTCTGGAGGGTCAGCTTTGTGTCCATTCTGACTCTACGATCCCTAACAACAAGAGGAATATGAAAGAGTAGGTTAACAAATATTTTTCTTTTTCTTGAGAGTTTAACTTTTCTTCTTGTTGTTAGGTGCCATGGAGTCAAGTATGAACACGACTCATAGCGACACTATGAACAAAAGATCTGAAGCCCATCCTAAGCCCATGCTACCCTCACACATTAGAGCCCACTGCAGCAGTCACTGTGTCAGTCCACCTGGTAGAGGGTCTTCCTCTCCTTCCCCAAATCTTCCCGGCATCATGTCCCTCTCCAAGGATTAGCCCCTCCTAGCAACATGCCCAAAGTATGTGAGGCAAGCCCTCACCATCCTTGCCTCCAAAGAGTATTCTCCAGCTGCATCTTCTCCAAGGCCTATCTTTTCTTTCTCTTGGTTGTTCACGGGATCTTCAATGTCTTCTCCAACAGCACAGCTCAAAGGTATCAATTCTTCTGTCACCCTTATTTAGAGTTCAGCTTAGATGCATAGCAAGTGATCAGAAAGACTGGCATGAATCAGACTCATCTTAGTTCTCAAGCTGACATCATTACACGTTAATAATTTGGAGAGATCTCTAACTGCAGATTTTCCTAGTACACTGCTTCTCCTTATTTCCTGACTACTGGTCCCAAGGGTGTTAATTATGGATCCAAGCAAGATGAAGCCGTTAACAGTTTCAATCTCCTCTCCATTCTATCGGTCCAGTAGTAAGAATTTTTGTTTTCTTGACATTGAGATGCAATCCATACCGAAGGCTGCATTCCTTGATCTTCTGCAACAAGTTGCTTCAAGTCCTCCTCACTTTCAGCAAGCAAGGTTGTGTTATCGCAGATTATTGATGAGTCTCCTAATCCTAATGCCTCTGCCTTACACTATTCTTAGGACAAAAACTAAAAGAAATAACAGAGGAGAAAGTAATTAATCCCAGTTTTCTCCTGAGGCTTTTTGAGTTTTGGTTTTGAATTTGCTTGTTTAGGGGGAGATTTTTTTTGCTGATTTTCTTGTATCTCAGGTTAGAGATCTTTGTCTTTCCACACATAAACTCCTCTGCATTCTGCCACAAGCTTTCTTCACCACAAATAGATGAGCAGCTCTTCCAAGGGCCCTATATTTAAAATGTAAATATTTGTTATCTGTTGTTGTTGATGATGTTGTGTACCATTGAGTCTGAACCCCCCCCATAGCTGACCCTCCAGCGGGTTTTCAGAGGAGAGGTGATTTCCTGTCCTTCTCCCATGAAGCCACTGGTGAACTCAAACCTCCTGCAGCACAGTTTCTTGTGAATTGATCATTACTTTTTAAATTATAAACATTTCCTTTTAATTCTCTGGAAAGGGAATTTTTGTGAAAGTCAAAACAGATTCTTGTAAAAGGAGAATTGGAGGGGGGTTTTAATATAGAATGACAGACATTTCTGGGGGTGATTTGGAGAACAATGAGTTTTGTGTGTTTGTTCTTTTAATGCAAGCTAAAGGAAGTCAAGATGATATGAAAACTGAAGCAAAATGAACTCAGAAACAGTTCAGAGAAGTGTTAAGAATCAAGGAATTAAAAAGAGCTAAAAGAAACCTAAGAGCACATTTTAGCACAGACTAGGGAAAAAGAAGTCCTGGCTTTATTACTCTTTTTTTTTTTCTTTTTTGGCAAATTGTTTCACTTCTCTGAGTATAGAACATAATTCCAAATAGAGTTGCCTGAAGGAGATTTAGATTTAAGAGTCATTACATGCAGATGATAGCTGAGACAATGACAAAAAAAAAGGATCTCTACAGAGAAAATATATCAGCTAGAAAACTACCAGGCTGAAGAGACCAAAAGTGTGGTTGACAGGAAAAAAGGGCAAAGTATTGTCTACCAAAATGGTCAAGGAAAATGTGCAGTAGTTATGAAGGCAAATTAAAAAAGATAGATTTATAGAAGTCAAACAGTTTGGAGATTGGTTATTGGGGTCAAACGGGAACAGAAGAAGAAATAGGCTGGGGATAAAGAATGTGAGAAGGTTTAAGTTTCTATGTCCTTTTGGATTTACTGTTATTGAGTGCTCTGACCCCACAACACTATTGGGGTGCTGGTTGTTGTAGTTGAGTGCTCATAGCAATTCTATGAACAACAGGTCTGAACCCTGTCCTACCTTATGCCATCCTCTCATCTCTGTCTTTCTTGAGCCCATTGCTGTAGTCACAATATCAATTCATCTCATTGAGGATCTTCCTCTCTTTCACTGACCTTCCACATTTCCAAGCATCATGTCTTTTTCCAAGGAGTAGCCTCTCCTAATAACACGTTAGTATGTAAGATAAAATTACACCATCCTTACCTCCAAGGAGCACTCTGCACTTTCTCCAAAACGTATCTGTTCTTTCGGTAGTCCATTTAGTGAGACTTAGGGAGACTTAGTGACTGCCTGTCTTTCTCTCTAGGAGCAGCTCATGGACCCCACACCTTTTGCCTAGGTTGTGCTACCAAAGTTGCTCAAACAAATGTTGTTACAAAGCCTCAAGTCAGAACCAACTCGTAGCTAACCCTTCAGCAGGTTTTCAGAGGCAATAAATGGCACAGGAGGAGATTACTCTTTATCTTGTGGATCAGCTAGTGGATTTGAACCATCTGCCTTTGGATTGGTAGCACAACTGCTTATCACTCGGCCACCAGGACCCCATATATCAAACAAAAACCTTCACAAAAATAAAGTCTTAGTAATTATTAGTTAATGTCATCCTACAGAAGTACATTGACATTGATAGTAGAGAGGAACCCATTTAATTAAGATTTTCCCGCTGCTTAATAATTTGAGCTATTTTGACAGGAAGAAAAAATAATCTACTACTTTTTCTTTATTTTTTTCTTTTTTTATTCATTGTTGCACATTTTCTTCCCTTCACTCTCCCTCCCTGAGGCCACCCACAATACACCCCTTGTTCCAAATTGTTCTCATACATATAATGCATAATTATATATTCCTCTCAACAGTTCTTCCCTTCATCTGTTCTAATGCAGTGTTCATTATCTATCCACTCTTTCCTCATCCCCTCACCAGCCCCCCCATATCTGTCCTTTTTTATAACAATGGTGTTATGCAGTATTTGTCCTTTTGTGACTGAGAAATTGCACTTAGCATAATGTCCTCATGGCTTCCTCATGTTGTGTAATGTTTCACTGTTTTTCAGTCAGTGCTGCATAGTATTCCATTGTATTAATATACCATTTTTCTATCCATTTGTTTTTTTTTTTTTCTTATCCAGTCACTTCTATCATTCCTTTGTTTTTTGGGTTGGTTTTTTTTTTTAGTTATTACACTAGTTTATATACAAAATTTGAATTAATTGTTTTCCAGAACAGATTCTTCCAACTTCCCCTCACCTTCTCACACATCAAATTGTACAACTCCATGATGAATCCCCACTCCCCCTGCACATCCTCATCCCTCTGCATCCATTCCCCCCAATCCTTATACTCAGTCCACAATAATGGTTTTATACAATATTTGTCCTTGTGGTATTTAGTTAGTTCACTCATTATAATGCTCTCTAGTCCCTCCCAAGGTAGGTAATAATTTACAAAATCATTGCTCCTGCATACAGCGTAGTATTACATTGTGTGAATGTGCCATAATTTCTCTATCCATCTGATTGTAGTTGGACATCTGGGCTGTTTCCATTGAGTTGCTATTGTGAATAATGAAACAATAAATATGGGTGTGCATACATCTCTTTGAGTTGTGGCTCTGATTTCTTTAGGGTATATTCCTAATAGTGGAATTGTTGGGTCAAATGTTATTTCTAT